ATTAATTAGTATTTAATTAATTGATTAATTAGTATTTAATTAATTGATTAATTAGTATTTAATTAATTGATTAATTAGTATTTAATTAGCTAATTAACCGTCACAGACCGTGACAGACAGGCTTTGGACCCATCACAAATCGTAACAGACAGGCTCTGGACCCATCACAGACCGTGACAGACAGGCTTTGGACCCATCACAGACCGTGACAGACATGCTTTAGACCCATCACAGACCGTGACAGACAGGGCTCTGGACCCATCACAGACCGTGACAGACAGGATCTAGACCCATCACAGACCGTGACAGACAGGGTCTGGACCCATCACAGACCGTGACAGACAGGATCTGGACCCATCACAGACCGTGACAGACAGGCTTTAGACTCATCACAGACCGTGACAGACAGGCTTTAGACTCATTACAGACCATGACAGACAGGGCTCTATACCCATCACAGACCGTGACAGACAGGGTCTAGACCCATCACAGACCGTGACAGACAGGCTCTGGACCCATCACAGACCGTGACCGACAGGCTTTAGACCCATCACAGACCGTGACAGACAGAGCTCTGTACCCATCACAGACCGTGGCAGACAGGGTCTGGACCCATCACAGACCGTGACAGCGAAACTGTACTTCTAAAGCATCAGATAAACGGTTAGCTACAAATGTATTGCAAAGAAATAGAACAAAACGATTTCCATTTAATTTGTAACAGCAGATCCATCGTGTTTCACATTTTTAATCCCGCAAGGGATTGCGCTAACAGCTTTCTTTACATATTCGAACTCGTTCAGCCCGTTGAAAATCAGTAAGATCTTTCGGTATATAACGTGCGGTAATTTTCATAAGGTTTAAATGATTGGTGATGATTCGATGAATCGTACCGTAACTTAAATCAGTTTGCTCTTGTAACTCTTCTATTGTAAGATAAGGATCATCATCGATAAGCTGACGAATCTGTTCGATGTTTTCAGATGTTGTTTCAGTAATAGATCTACCAGGTCGTGCTGTATCTTCAAGTTCTTCTCGACCATCACGAAATAACTTGGATCATCTTTCCACTGTTCTAAGAGAAGGAGCTTGATCACCATAAACAGAATACAATTCATCATGAATAATTCTTGCTTGAATATTAAGTGCAGTACGGGTTTTGATGTAAAAACGAAAGTTTTCTGTACTCATTTGAAACAAGAAAATAAGATCAGACTTAAACTTGATTTCCTTCAATCTTTTTTGAATATAAACAAGTAGACGACACGTGCACACAAAAATAATACGACGGACGTATTAACATATATGAGAATAATGTGTATGGAATGATTAGTTATTATAAGAGATAAGAAAATTATGATGAAAGAACGAGAAAAAAAAGGAAAAACAGCGAAAAAAAACAC